TTGGAGAACATTCGTCGATGTTAACTCCACAATTTCTCCCAGTAAAACCACGCGAACAATGACAACTGTAATCGGCAATTAAGTCAAAGCAAGAAGCGTTGTTGAAGCAAGGATTTGGGGAACATTCGTCAATGTTAACTTCACAATTTCTACCCGTGTAACCTGAAGCACAACGACAGGTATAATTGGCTACTGAATCTACACAAGTTCCTTGATTTAAACACGGATTTGGTGAGCACTCGTCTACGTTCAATTGACAATCTCTTCCTGAAAAACCGGCAGGGCAATGACAAGAGTAGTTTCCCGGTAGATCAGAACACGTTCCATTATTCTGACATGGTGTGGCCTCACATTCATCGATATCAGTCTCACAGGTTTGGCCAGTGAATCCTTTAAGACATTCACATCTGAAGCCTCCTGTTATTTCACGGCAGGTAGCATTGTTACGACATGGACCTGACAGGCAATAATCCAACTTATTCTCACAATACTGACCCGAATATCCGCGAGCACACACGCATATAAAGCCGTGTGAAACATTTACACATGTTGCTCCATTTGTACAGTTATTCACCGTGCAGTCGGGAATACGAGTATCACAATTATCACCCGTCCAACCTGCGTCACACGTGCAGTTATAGCCGTTCCACGATGGCACGCACACACTGTGTGAAGGGCAGGGATTGGGCGAACAAGTTGAGTTTCCATAACAACCTATTGTCACATGATTCAAGTTCACCTCAAGACCCTCTTGAGAACTGGGTGAAAGGTAGTGAACTCTGCGCGAGTTAAATTTGATGTCCTTAAGACAGCCCTTGAAGTGTTTGCGACTTGTTACTCCTGTCGAAAAAGAAAATAGTAATTAAAATCGGCTCATGAGTTTTGTGATGGAATCGAAAACGAGCAAAATGTTAGCATTCAGTCTTACTACTTCATTGTTAGTAACGCTTCGACTGAGCATTTTATGTGTGACAAAAGGACGTTAAAACCTTTATAATTTGGATATATTTCTCTATATAGATCAGTATACATACAGTGGAACCTCGATATAACGAAGAACCCAGGGACTGGGAAATATGTTCTTTATAACTAGGTTTCGTTATATGGAGGTTATTTTCCATATATTTTACTATTACTGGGGTAACGAAAATCGTTCGTTATACCGAGGACTTTGTTATATAGAGGTTCGTTATATCAAGGTTCCACTGCACAAGGCCTTGAGAAATGGCTGACCGACCAACTGTCCTGAGAGCAAGTTTTCAACTTTACCCCACATCCATCTCACCCAAAGCAAATAACTTGTGTAAACGTCTCCTTTCTGAGTTTTTATGGGTGTTAAATTAATCAAAAAACAATAAGGGACAAACGCAAGGATGTTAATACTGACGACAATTCAAGCAAATCGTTTATGCGTTTCCGTTGAATCATGTTCGTAAATTTTAAATGTGTTGTCTTTGAAGTTACTCAACTTTCCTCGGCTATCATACATATCATAATACCTGTAAGCTTGGTTACTCCAGTAGGAAACCCTCCAATATCCACATAAATCACAGGTCCCTGTGCAGTATTAAAAACTGATTCGGCCCCAGCAAGGTCTGCCTGTACAGTAAAGGTTTCGTCTAAGGTCAGTGTAATGCGTTTTAACCGTCGAGTCCAGAGCAAGTGATGCCAGTCACCATCAGATACGAGTTGATTGATGAACACCCCATTTGATCCTGAAATTAAGTCGAACGCATGCCAACCGATAAATAACTGAAATTGTATTAAAGGGCTGTATCAAGGCTGGCCAGTTCATTTTGTTTATAAAGCCATTTACGAGTCGTTATTCGCTATGGAACTCGAGAAATTACTTGTGAATGACAAAGTCACAGCTTCGTGTCAAACAAATTGGTCCCGTTCCCAAGTATGCTGCGACGGCGACGACAACGAGAACGTCAAAAAAGCAATAGGTTGAATAGCCAAAACAACACCTCTGCACGTGCAGCACGGCTTTTTTGTACATTTCTTTGCCGTCACTGCACGACTACAATGGGAAAATGCCTAACTTCACGTTTTATCGAGGACGTACACAAGCGACGTGAACTTGAATGTCGTCCTTAGGAATTCGGCTCAAAAAGAGTTCGCTTGCATTTGACAAAGTAAATGAGTTGGAGTAATCACGATAGAGATCGAAAGAACGCATTGAATTCACTTTTTAAGTGACGTTTTCGCGGCCGTCGCCGTCGTGGTATCTTAAACTCCCAATTGTATCAATCCTTGCAAAAAACAAAAATCAACTTTGGGAAACTACTAGGCTAACAAGTTTTCAAAAACCACAATTGCAATCCGTTTCAATCTTTTTAAATTTCATCCGGTTCCGTACCTCCTTTTGTAATTGCAGAGTTATTTGAACCTTTTCAGCGGTTATTGTTATATGCTTCACTCAATTTGGTGTCAGTCCCCACAATTTGACTGGAATTTTGAGAAATTTCCAGATGCAGCTCCTTAAAACGAACTTTCTTAGTTGACAGCAAAATCTATTGTGGTAACTCCTTCGGTTAAAACAACATTTGACAACAATAGTAGAAACAATACCTGAACCAAGGTCAGCGGTAAATCTAGCTTTACCGGAAGTGATATCGAGAAGAAGGAACTCGACATTCCCTTCCCCAGGCTTTCTCCCAGTATACATCAATAGACCATCCGTTTCTCTCGTCCGAAACCAAAGTGATGCGCTCTGACCGAAACTCCAGTGAGAAGCGTTGAGAGATATTTCTAGGTGGCTGTCATTCATTAGTAACGACGTTGTGGTGACTGCAAGTGGAAACGAAATGCTTATTATAAGATGGACAGTGAACACTCTCTGCAAGGATATTTTTTCATACATGTGCCGGCGTATCCAAGCTTAAGTGACGCACAATTATTTTCATAAGTAAACTATTATTGGTTAATGGTGAGCACGATGGCAAGATAACAATGAGCAAAGTTAGTTTCAGTACTAAGAGGACAGCGCGATGGATTGGCCAAACTCTAAAAGGATCCTGCAACACTGTGCTCTGAATACCCGAAAACTATTTATTTACTCCAAGCATTTCTGACCAACAACAGATTGTTTCCACTCACGTGGTCAGCAGCTAAACAAGTTTCTAGGCACAAACGTAAAGTTTTTACATCAGACAAGAGTTCAAGCCACAAAGAATTTTTTTGGGTACACCAACATGGCCGCCGTTTCATTGTTTTGTACACCAATATGGCCGCCGTGACGTCATATGAAAAAGATCTATGTTCAAGTTCGTTCTGTCAGAGTTCTGAACGATACAAAGACGTAAAAGAATTCCACCTATAACTAGCACAATTTTACTTACCATTTTCACATTGTCTGCCAACAAAATCTTTTAAACAACGACACTCATACCCAGTCCACGTTGCATCGCAAGATCCTTCATTTGCGCAGGAACTCGGTCCACAGTTCTCGTCCTTCTTGCAGCTCGGCAGAGGTAGACTAAAGCCCCCATTTTTCTGTGCTGTCTCAAACGGTATTAACTGATCGTTAATGAAGACCCTTCTTGAGCACCCACTGAATGTTAGAAATTCGCTGTTTAGAGCTATCCCCAGATCATTAAACTGAAGAGATCCCATGTGCAATGTTTTCCCCAGATGCGTGATGGGCTGGGATCCACTCGGCGGTACAAGTGTAGTTCGAAACGAGTCCACGGCAATTGACAAATTACCGGAAGTGACGTTTACATCCAGCCTATGCCATCTGCCATCTGCCAAATTCTGGCCAATGACCGCACTAGTTCTGTCGAAGAAAGACTTCACGTATGCAGCGTGAAGACGACCGTTCAGCAAGGCCAAACCAAAGAAAGACTGAAAATTAAAAAAAAGGTCTTTTAAATTCGCTCTACTTTATTTCGTAATTATAGTAAGAATTGATTATAGGAAGAATTGATTGATCAGTATAAAAAACATCTTTATTAGTATACAAAAGGAAACAAGGGTGGTGCAGTGTTGACAGCAATCGCCTCCAACCAATGTGACCTGCGTCTGAATCCCGAAGGCGATGCCATAATATGTGGGTTAAGTTTGTTGTTGGTTCTTGCCCATGCAGACTGGGCTACGTGGAGTCTCCTTTTTTCTTCACTTCCACTGAGAGGAGTGCACGCACGCTTCGCTCAACGGACTCAAAAAGAGAGAATACTCGAAGCCTCTTGCTGAGAGAGATTCTTCTCCGGGTGTTCCATTTTCCCACCCTGGCGAAAACATTTCCAAATTCCAGTTCGATCCACAATGCTTGACGAGGAATCACTATGCGTGCGGGTGTGCAACCCTTAAATTTGGAGGTACTGATGAAGGTAAAAATCCTTATATTTACGTCGGTAACTCGTAACAGTACATATCACACTGACAAGCCTGAGGCTGACGGTTCGCTCATTTTACCCCCACTACATTAGAGCTCAGTTGTACGGGTATTAAAGACATTTAAAAGGTACACGGAAAGGAAAGAAGTCGAAAGAAGGAATTAAGGCTGCACCTAGAAATCAAACTCGGATCCTTCCGCACAAACCTACTACGCTAATCTTTGATCCTTGTTGTTTACTTATTTATGTCAGTTATTAAGCAAAATTGAATAGACCTGCAACTTGGGATTCAGGTAACATTTTGTCAAGTTCACAGAAACGAAGGCGTGAGGAAACTTCTCGTTTTTTGGCTTCTGTTAACATAACTTACCCCTGTGAATGCCAGCACCCCTCTAGTCACTGAGGGATCAGTCGAAAACTCGAGAGAAAACGAGGTTATATTAGCAACAGATGTGAACATCAAACCAGAACTATCATCCCTATCAAATGTTGCTGTGATTTGGCGCTCACAAAATGAGCCCACAAAGCCTGAAGGACAGCGACAACTATAGCGGTTCCATTCATCTACGCATGAGCTACCGTGCTTGCATCCATGGTTACTGCACACCTCTTGCCTTTGACAACCAGGGGAGACTAGGTGCGACTGGGCTAAAACGTCTTGCAGACCACTGTCTATATTGTTGAACAAAAAGTCCTGGAGAATGACAGAATAGAATAAGTCCAAGAATTAAGACATAACTGATAGGCCAGGAATGGAAACATGTTTCGCGCCATCACTGCAGAGTGAAACATGAGGGACTTACTGATGGACGTATAGGTGTTCCTAGGGCTTTTTCTGCGATGAAAATCGTGAGGACGACTTGTGGCATGTCTATACACAGCTATTTCGAGAAAAGAAAAAGTGCACGCGACAATACCGAAAGGTATTAAAGGAATGGAACGAGAGGATATGGACGCATGTTTGCGAAGGCCAAAGCCAAAAAAGGAACAAAAGTAGGGACAGCTGCAGGCCTACAGTACGTCAGGAATAGTGTATTGATCATATTACCTTAACATGAACTTTATAACGTGAACTTTATCTATACTCGAATTTCAGAGTAGCCTGAAAGGCTAATATCGTTCGGGATTGTCGCGACAAAAGCGAGCAAGAGAAAATCCCCCGTAACTTTTTCCCTTCTTCTCGATCCCCCATCCCTTTCGACGCCTTCCACGATGGCTACTTATTCCACTGTACTGTTTTTGTCATTGCAAAACTGCCCACCTATCCCTCCCCTAACTCAACGTTAACACTTACTTCTCACTTAGAGCAAAATGTTGGGTTAGGGGAGTGGTAGGTGGGCAGTTTCCCAGAGACCTGAATTAATCCCAAATACCTTGATGCAGCCAACAAACGCGCCATCGCTTATCAGTTCCTGAGTTATGCGTGGCACCAGCTTGTTAACACCCCCGAGGTAAGGTAAACCAGAAAACTCGGTGTTACTGTCACTGTTTGTATTGACTGTCTTTGAACAGTCACTTCCAGTGCACGTATCTATGTCAACAGATATAGTGGCCTGGGAACTAGTTATCTTGACGGTAATCAGATGCCAGGTCCCGTCGTTGAGTCCTTGGCCTAGGGTGGCTTTTGCAGTGTCCACACCAGTGTTGAATGACAAACGGACCGAACCATTGGTCAGCTCTACGATCACACGATCAGTGTGTTCCTTTGTGAAGTCCTGGAAAAGGAGAATTGTACCTGATTTAATGGACAAAATAAAGGGCTAATCCAAGTTATAGAACAATCACAGATTGAAAGCTGACTTATAATGTGTCTAAATGTAATTTAGGCGAAGTTAATCCCTGGACAATACTGGCCAGTGGTTTCTGTAGCCCACGCTCAACTATGGTTTGGGGTGACCTGATAAGTAGCAGGACGTCAAGGCTTTACAGTGTATATGTCTTGGACTCACACCCAAACTCATCTACTGTTGACTGGTCTCAAGGCAATAAAATCATTTTGGGCGGGATTAGTCCAATAAATCTGAGTGTACTGCTCTAATCCGAAAACTACTTTAAATGTAACTACTCTTGCTCCCTGCCGCAAGCAAAACTAGCTATCCATGCCAATGAACTCAAGTCTCGAAAGTGATCATGATCCCTCGCAGGTCGTGGTACCACGGGAAGCCAATAGAGACCTTCAGATTCTAAGACCAGGGGGACTACGAGTATGAACAAAATTTTCTCAATATTAAGTAGTGCTAGCCGAGTTTTAGTGAGAATGTCGTATTGGCGGAAACGAGCTATCAAATGTCTTATCGTTCTGCGATCTGGAGAGGGCTTAACCTCCCTCGATTAACTAAGATAACAGTGATAACTTTTCTAGAAAAAAATAGTAAAATGAAGGTTTCTGGGGAGTATTTTTTTAGAATACGCGAAAAAACATTAAGGCAAATGACGTAATCAAAATCGTTCTCGTTCTCGAGTCGAAAGGTCTCTAATGCTTTTGGAGCGAGTACGAGAAGAGATTTTAACTGCACGTTGGGATGGATGATCACTTAATCACTTACTGCTCCCTGGTAGAACAGCAATCCATCTGGAAGAGTTGTCCTAAATTTAAACGAAAACAGGTCTGACGGGAAAAGTCTGAAGTTCAAGGCAGGTATGTATGCTCCTCGCTCGAAGCTCACGGCAAAAAGAACTTCACAAGTCCTTCCTCGAAAACCATCAGCACATTGACAAACGAAACCATTCACGCTATCTACACAGGTACTGCCAAATTTACACGGATTAGATGAACACTCGTCAATGTTGGTGTCACAAGTCAATCCAGTGTAACCCGGTTTACACAAGCAGTTAAATCCGCTTCCACCAAGCTGACACGTTCCTCCGTTTTTACACGGCTGTGCAGAGCAGTCATTTAGGGGAACCTCGCAATTTTTGCCCGTGAAACTCGCGGTGCACGTGCACCGGTATCCATTTACCAAATCCTCGCACGTGCCCTGATTCTGACAAGGCTGATCAAGGCATTCGTCCACGTGTTTATCACAGTGTTGCCCTGTAAACCCAGATAAGCACGTGCAGTTATATCCCCCAGGCGTGTTGTGACACGTTCCTAGATTTCCACAGGGAGAAGCGTGGCATTCATCGACATCAGTGCTGCAGTAGGGACCTGTCCAGCCGGTTGTGCACGTGCAGTTTGCTCTGTTACCATGTAGTGTGCACGTGCCATTGTGTTGGCAAGGATTAGGTTGACAAGAGGAACTGCTATACTCACAGTGGACTCCTGTGAAGAAAAAAAAAACATACATATTATAAATGCAATTCGAGCATTTCAGAATTCGAGGATTGACGGAAAAATGATATGAAAGATTTATTGGGTCAAAAAATCATACTAAATGAGTTTCATGATGGTTAAATACCTGCGGCCCTCGTTTTATAAGGCTTAGGCCATCCCAATAAAATGTTTCGTTTCCCATCGCCCTCCCTCTCGTGTAGGTGGGTCGGTCGGTCGGGCAAAAAACAAACAAACAAACAAACAAGAATGAACACATGATTGCATATTAAATCTCACGTTTAGTCTACAAGATATAATCAGATGGTAAAAGATGTATATTAACAGGACTATCAAATGTCTAAAAATGCTACAAAAACGAAGTATCGATGATAATTTAAGACAACCGGTGTTAATAAGACAAGATCGTGTGCTTGTAGATTAAAGTTCTTGCTTCTTTACAAGTGATTCTGGAATTTTTTTTTTACTTTTCCAAAAAAAATGGGTCGGTCGGGCGATGGGAAATGAAGCATTAAATTTGGATGGGCTTATTGTTCACACTACGGGATAGCTCTTGCCTCGGTACGAAAACCATATCGGAAAGGGATTCCGTTCACACAAAAGAACCGTGATTTCGGCGTGATTTCTGTAACGGAGCGAAGAGTCACATACAGATAGGTGTTTATGCTATAAAATATAGTGTGAGCATGAGCCTGAGTCACGATGAATTTTTAAGTTCGTTTATGGACAGTTAGATTCAACTAGTTTACTTCAACGAGACTGCCCTTAGTAAGCCATCTTAAGATTCAAAACTTTACCTTGAAATCCTGCTTGACATCTACAAGTGTATCCCGCTGATCCAACATTTTCAACGCAAGTGCCACCATTTTGACATGGATTAGATAGACACTCAATAATGTTTGCCTCACACTGACGACCAATAAACCCAACCGGACAATCACAAGTAAAGCTGTTCAGTTTGTCATGACATATTCCACCATTAAAACAAGGCTGAGAAGCACATTCATCAGTGTCATTCTCACAATGCTGGCCTTCAAAGCCTGGGACACAAGTGCAGGAATAGTTACCTGGCAGAGCAAAATACGTAGAACGAAAATTTGTGAGTTTACACTAATAGAGTCATAATGAGAAAAAAGGCAATGGAAAGAAAAATATTAGTTACAAAACAAAAAAAAAGTATTTTGCTTTGTTTTGAATTCTTTAAAAATGTCCCATTTTGTTTGTTTTTGTGGGACTGAGTTGTCTAGGGTGTGACATTCGCTGGAAACGTTTTCACACTTAGCATTGACATAATTAAGAAAAAAGCGAGAGTCGTTCCGTTCTCTACAAAACTTTGACCATTTAGAATTAGGTCACTTAACACAATCATGACAACGATAACAGTGAAAACTTCATCATACAAAAGTGAGTTTGCATTTAAAACTTTCCAACTTGCTCAATTTGTTAACGTAGGTGAGTTTTCCTGGTGCTAAATAGTTAGAAACACGTGCAAGTAGTTAGCAGATAGAATAATTCTAATGGGAACCAATGTCTACGTTTTGCTTTATCTGCATATTTATGAAGAAAAGGACTGAGGTCATGTGGTCATGCTAAAGAAGAACGTCTCTCTCACCTTGACTGTTGCTACATGTTGCTCCATTTAAACATGGCTGGCTGGAACAATAATTAATATCAACACTGCATCGCTGACCCGTTTTTCCAACAGGGCAGACACATTGATGACTATTGATGCCGTCAACACACTGCTCATACTGTTGACAAGAATTTGGCTGACAGTTATCAATATTCTTTTCACAGCTGAAACCAGTAAAACCAGCTGCACATGTACAATTGTACCTGAGGACAAAATTCAAATATTTTATGGTTTGCGCTGATTATTGCTAAAAAGAGTAATTGCTATTGAATCCCTACTATCTGGAAACTCTCTTTGGGAACCTGTTATAAGAGTCCTAACTTAAATCACTGAACAAAGAAAAAGAAAAAAGAAAAAAAACAACAATAACAGAAACAAACACAGAACCAACCAAAAAAAACAAACAAACAAAAAGTGGCTTCTTGTAAAGACCGTCAACATGAAAGGAAAGGAAAATTTGCAGTCTGATAACAATGTTATCCATTACATCCTTCCTTGACCATTTTAAAGAACCAATGGACCGTTTCACTTTGAAAAATGAAGGGTTAATGTAAAAGCTCCACTACAGTATTATCATTTGACTCAATCCTGTTTTTTTCATTTGTAACATTTTACTCTCTCAATGATTTCTCACCCCAAAAGATTTTCAACACAAGTTGCTCCATTCTGACATGGCTGACCACTGCAGCTGGTGACTGTCACATTACAGTATGGTCCTGAGAAACTTGGAGGACACTGACATCTGTAGCCATTAACACCATCAACACATGTGCCCCCATTATAGCAAGGTAATGCAGTCTGGTTACACTCATTTATGTTGACCTCACAATGGACTCCTGGAAGATATATTTAATAACAAACAATGTTGTATTTTGCAGCCCAAAATGTTTCTGAAGAATGGGTTCAACAAGCTAAGGAGACTACTTGTGTGCAAAGAACACTGTGCCTGAATGCTGTATGGTGCGAGTACCTGAATAGGTCCAGGGACACGCCCCCTGAGAAAAATGTTATCATATTACATCGTACTCACTATGACTCTTCCCATTGGATAAGAGCCTACAGTTAAATTTGCAAATCAGCATAACCTACAGATTAGGTAAATTATCTACTAGTAGATATCTAACTAATCCGTACTAGGTTGTGCGCACAATGCATGATTTCCAAAAGTAATGTCAAATTGTATTATGTGCGATTGTGTTTCTTGTTATCTTCTTCAAAGCATTATTATGTACAAGAAAAGATCAATAAAACAATAGATTTGGTTTTGGTGATATCCAGAATGATCATGGTCTCAAGATTGAGGCTGATAACACTCACCTTGACCTTGATTATTCCTGCTACTACAAAAATCTAATCCAATAATTTATTGTTTACTATTTGAATCCTAGGAGGTATGGTTTGGTGCATCACAGGATTAAAGCAGAAAATCTTAATGTTATTTTTCACAAAGTTATTATAATATTCCCACTGCATACCTATTGTCACTACATTGGGAACTAAGTCATGGTAGGAAACAGTGACTGCCAGGACAACAGGCATGCCAAATAACAAGGGTATGCACTGTCAACCACCACCAGGGGAAGTGGGAGGGGTGAAACTTTGAATCTCACTTCCACAAAACTTCCTTGAACTGGCCAAGAGGCAGGCAAAAACTGAGCAATTCTAAGCAAGCGCCGCAGTGCACCATGCTATCATGCCACCAGCGCACAGACTCAACTAAAAGGAGTTACTTTTTCTTGTGTCACGGGCTAATTATGTATGCAGTGCAGAGAATAGTACAGCACATTGAAGTTATCAGCATATGTTACCATAGCCTGAAATTCATCCGATTGCTTTGAGTCATTTTCTCCTCTCAACAACGATGTTACTGAGGGAGCAATAATGACTCGAAGTATAAGCAGATGAAATTCAGGCTAATGTTACCAAAGTGTATTCCCAATATATTCAGTCATGACAACAGTAATAGAATGGAAAATTTTGTTTGCTGGTACGGTAAAATGTCATAACTTGGGAGTTATCTCACTAGCAGCTGGAAACATCTCATGCATCACTTCATTCAACACTAACCAGTAAATCCCCTCTGACAAATACACTGATACCCTCCAGACTGAAATCTCTGACAAATGGCATTGTTCTGACACAGGTTAAAATGGCACATGTTAATCACCGCTTCACATCTTTTACCTATCAAAGAATGAGAAAAATAATACAAAAAAATCTGAGAAATGCTGTACTTATGCAGGTTACCTGGAAAGCTCAAAGCTGTTATTGAAAACTCAGGAGTCAGCATAAACACTTATATGTGCTGGTGGCAGCATCTACGCTAAGTAGGTGGGAAAATGAGAATTAGATTTGTCAGGAATTCTCATCAATATCCATTTGAATAATTAAAATAAATACCATGTGTCCAAATGAACATTATATGTAACCACACAATAGCAAACCATACCATATCAAAACATACCATTGACTTTACCTAATTAAGTAGCCAGGGCTCTGACACTTGTAATTATAGCCAGAAGGTACCCCAAGCCCCCAGCTAAGAGACCTTTTTTTCATGACCCTGATTCATTTCCTTTCACATACAGAACTAATTGTTTTTTTTAAACTGACACCATTAAATTAGATAATTAAAAAAAAATGATGATACTTCACATGTAGACTGCACACTAACAAAGATTACACCCTAAGCAAGGCTTTGGGTCCAGAAACACACCCTGTTTAAGAATTGTATTCTAAATCAAGAATTAATTAACACTGAAAACCATGTTAAAAATTGATCATACCCTGTTCAGCAGCACATAACCATTAAGGCCAAATAAGGGAGTGCCCCCCTAAGCTACTGACTCTAAAAGACAGCCAGTCATAATGGTCATATTTCCACTGGCAGTGGCAGGCCTTGAGGCAAGAGAGGACCGGCTCTGGCTTAAACAGAGTATCTCTGCAATTACCTTGTCCTATGGACCTTGGTTTTGGTGCAAAGTAATGAGGGATCACCTAGACCTATTGGACCCCTCCCTGACAACTGCTTCCCCTTTTCAGACCAGCTCACAATTAGCTAGCCTGCACTGCAGATGTAATTTAAACCCAGTTATAAGTAATGTCTGCAAAACAGTGCTGATATCCCTGTTCTGGGCCTCCTACAGACTCAACAAATTACTAGAAGTGCGTTTTGAATTTCCTTTCAATCTAATTGGCAAACTAACAAATGGCTTTTTTAACAGGATAATCATGGTGCAGTAACTCAAATCCTGGTACACAAGTGGAGGCCTAAAACAAGGATTTCAACTCTGTTTTGCAGACGGATTTAACTGGAAGTTTAGTTTCGTCTGTAGTGCAGGCTACTCACAAGTGTGATTAGGTTACAATGTATCAAGAGAAACATCAATGAGATTTCTTACCTGTAAATCCTGATGGGCATTGACAAGAGTAGTTACTGCTGCCAATATCAGTACATGTTCCATTAAAGTGACATGGATTAGAAACACACTGCTGCCCCTCTACAGAAAAAAAACCTGCCAAGAAAACACCGTACATTCCCTTATGGTTAACTTTTTGGAGTGAAACGTTTAACCTAAAAAAACAAACTTGAATATGAACAATCAAGTTGCCACTGCTCATAGAGGTATGGCCCATGGTTGTCTTTCACAACTGCCTTACTGGAGTCTACCAACAATTCAGGTAAATCTCCAGAACTGTTTTGACTATGTCACAGACATAATTTACCCCTAATGTTATGGTTAACACTGTCCGCAATGTCGTCATTCAGTTTCCAGGGAGATAACATGCAGGAACTGAGTTAATTAACGGCAACTCCCCTCCTATCTTCAGGTCTGGGTTAGAGGGCTCCCCAGGCAACTTGCTTAAAGATCAGAATCCACAACTGATAAGGGAAACTAAAAATGTTGGATTCATTTATGAGCGGTGATGTTGGTAGGGAGGAGGGGGTGGGGGTGCAGGGGGTTGCTTAAATCCTATTAGTTGTCTATCATGGACGTATTTGGTTTGTGTTATGTCTTTTGTATGGATCGATGCTTTTACAGGACTATCGCTAAAATTTCAAGTTGCTTTAGGTTAAAAAAAAACAGTGGGTAGGGAATCAACCAACTAGGGATTTCTTTTGGTTCTATTTTTCTTCTATTTGCCTAAGAAAGTAGCAGGGGAAAATCTCTGACCCTGGCCCTTCAATATGACAGACCTGCTTTACTTGGCTAGCTGTAGGGAAGCCGTTTTTCAGTATTACTCTCAATTTCACTTTCACATATGCAGTCATTTATTGAAACTATTTTATAGGCTATACACAAGACATAGTTTGGTATAAATTTAATAATAATAATAATAATAATAATAATAATAATAATAATATATATAATAATAATGACTATTATTTACACCAAAGAGGGGTAGAGGAATGGATATTTACTTCAGCTTTGCCACTCTATAAAAATCCCTCACCAATGTGTAATTTGCTGAACATGTATTATTTTTTCTTGGTAATTAAATTAAATTTAATGATTCTGAGTATGATGTGAAGAATTGTGCAGATTAAGGTGGATAACATCCTCCAAGATCTACATCTGCAATTGCGTGTAATCCCTGTAAGCTAGCTGGTGTCAGTTGTCTCACAAAAGCTAAGCGTAAATATATACACAATAAACTTGACTTGAAGATCCCATCTGCCTTGACTTTTTTCAAAACTGTGTCCTTTTTGTTAATGGCATGGTTTCAAGATATAAACAGATGTTTTTGCTTGGAGATACTTCTCTAAAAGTAGATAACATCTAACAAGCAATATGTTTGGCAAATTTTGCCATTACGTCTTCGGATAGCCTTGCTTATGCCCCTTTTTTAATTCGCCAGGAAATGAGGATGATCAACGGTCTATTGCCCAAGCAACCTTGTTTCCAGGCTAATATAGCATTGATCAGCCTCATTTCCAAACAAAGATACCATCAAGCTGATGGTACAGTCGAACCTCTCAGTACGGACACCTCTCTATTATGGACAGTTTCCAACATCCCGACAAAATTCTCATACATGTACATTTTCTTTAAAAAAACCCTCTTTTTAACGGACTCTCTTTAATGCGGACAACGTACACTAAATCTTAGCCCCAGGGAGTAAATTTATTTAAACTTAACCTCTTTGTTACGGACACTGTGGTGATCAGATGAATCCCGAAATATCCTGATCACGTGAATCTGCACGGGGTGAATCCCGTCTGGCTGATGAGCTATGTAAGGTGATTTCAAAAGCCCAGTCGCTGTATATCAAACAACAATTTGCGAAATGTTTACAGAGGAACATATTAACCGACTTATTTAAGGCTTGAATAACTACAGATAGCATAAAAATCTTTTTCAATTACATTGTACTCTAGTTACAGGTTTGCTGCACTTGCAAAATAGCAAAAGACGCTTTCAGAATTGTGCTTTACACTACAACTTTTAACACGCAGCATTGCGCTGTACCTCGCTTTGTTTTAAAACACTGACTTGTCTACGACTGCACTTACTTTGTAGCTGATACGTACAATGTTTTGTGCTACTGAAAGACAGTGTCTTTGTACTGTGAATTAATAAATTTAAATGCAGGTTAAAGATGAGTGTGAGCCTGGTTTTAGCTACTGAACACTTAAAACTGTAAGTGGACTCATAAAAGTGACCCATCGTAGTGACCTCTGTTATGCGAACACCTCTGATACCGACACTTTGCTCTGTCCCTTTGGTGTCCGTATTAGAGAGGTTCGACTGTATATTGCTCTCATCTTCAAAATTTGGTCAATGTCTGTTGGTAATGAAGAATGAGTCAAGGGATTTGAGCCAATCAGAAACTGCAAAATATTTTGAATGAATAATGATAAACACTTAATGACTGGTTTTGAGGGAAACAGTGAAGCTGGAAATTCATTAAACCTCGCTGTAATGGCAGTCGTCAGTCAACATTTGCGGGTAACAGTGCAATGTTACCCTCTGACATCATAGATTTTTGCAGTGCTGCCCGCTCAGAGATTTTGACGGGAAACAGTTTCATTGCTAGATGTCATGAGACCTTGAAGTAACCAATGAGAGCGCGTGCTGTTGGGGAGAAATTTCCAGCTAGCTGACAATCACTTATTTACTTACATTATTTTAATTGCTGCAAGATGTTCTAGGAAAGAGAACAATAAAGCCCCAAAAGATGATTGTATCAAATTACTGAATAACGGCCAATATAATAAAAACATACCATAAGTGAAAACAAACAGCCACAGAAACCACAAGTGGCACGTCGAAACAGCGTCCGTAAACATATCGCCATTAGAGTCTAAATTCCAAAACAGTCAAGAACAATTCAAACTTCCTTGTTCC